GAGGAAAAACTTCACTTTGTTTTTATCTTTTCAGTTGTTAGGTGGACTTTGGTGGAAAATTCTTATGAAATGCAACCGTCTAGATGCTAAATCTGTAGCAATGCCGTTACTTAAAACTGGGAAACAAAATTTTCCCAAAATTATTGTTTTACGAATAAAGAAAGAAGAATTCGAAAGATTTAGTTCTATATTTCATTAAAGTTCACTGAAGAAATCAAATTGGGGATACATGATCCGGTTGAGAAAAGACAAAAGAACTTGACGGGTATGTTGAACTTAGAGTTTAAAGTTTATTAAAATACTCACATTGTAATCAATATTTTTTAGATCAGTTATAATTTTCTCAATATATAGACGCTATTTCAGCCAAAAAAAACGGACGCTCTGTTCTTTTTTTGCTTGGCTGTGGCGAAGAATCCATAACACTTCAAATTTTTGGCCTTTCCGATGGAGAAATCTTCTCTGCTTTACAAAAAATTGACAAGTTTATCAATCAAACTATTATAAAGAAGAAATTACGTAGTGAAAATCTTTACAATGTCATCCTAAAAAATAAGGATGAAATAAAACAGATTGCAACTGATGCTCGCTTAAGAATGAAATGTGAGGATGAACAGACGATTTCTTTAATAGGTTTGCACAACAAAGTTTATCAAACAAGCATAGTTCTCAAAGAGCTCATTAACGAGTTTACTGAAGAAGAGAAAAGACTTCAACAACTGAAATACTTGTCAGAAAATGTTCAATGGAATTACTATGATGTACATAATAACTTTATCTATTGTAGTGAATAGTTAAGCAAAGTACTCGAGATTTCTCATGTGAATGGTATACAAACAATGGATTTACCAGACCCAGGAAGACAATTGCTTGAATTTAAAGTGGATTTCTCACAAATAACAGCTTCCAATACTAAAAGGGGCGAAAGTAAGAAATTGTTACGGAAGATTATCGGCTTAAATTCTGGTTTGTACTTTTTATTATTGATAGGTGATTAAATGTGATATCCTAAAACAGATCATCTTCGAAAATTTTTTTGAGAAAACTTGATCTCAATAGCTATTTTTTAATTCTGATGATTATTTCATTTTATTTGATTATTTTGTGCTTTGAGCAGAAGTGGTATTTTTTTGAAAATAAATTTCAATGGAAGGAGAAGAATGCAAAATGTCTCCCCTTGCTTTCAGAAACAATACATATGTTATTTATTGAGAAGACTCATTTGATTGACTGCTTAGAAATGTGTTTGAAACTATCGTTGATGACATGAGAATATTTCTATTAAATTTCTCAGTTCCATTATGTTGGTTTCCCCAACCTTCCGATCAAGATGTAATCTTGTCGGACTGACACAATCATCCTCTGAATACATCGAGATTGAAGATTACTTTGTGGCTCGAGGAGGAAGATCTGATAAAATTTATGAGATTCAGATCATACAGAACCCTCAGTTGTATTCTCGGTACCTGGCTTTTAAAAGTTCCATGCTTGGTGATGTGAATGAAAAGCGTCTCTTTCACAGCACTAATCTAGACAGCGTTCATTTAATAAACTCAAATAACTTCAGCCGAGGCTTTGCAGGAGTAAATGGTAAAAGTTAAATATTTCTTAAACGCAAAACGATCTTAAAGCTATCTTTTTATGACACTTCATAAAATTTTTCACTGTAGTATATGACGTTTTAAGACAACAGAAATAGATTTTCATCGGGATATTTTATTACAAATATGTGTTCTGTTTATAGCTGTAAAATATGGAAACGGAGTATGTTTTGCAAAAGATACATCGTATTCTCTCAGTGTACTCTCTTCATCAGTGTTATGGATCACAACCAAAGATGTACATCGCCAAAGTTCTTGTTGGGAAGTACACTTGGGGAAAGAAAGGTTTAAAGGCACCACCATCGAGAAATGATCCGATTAATCCAGGTTTACTCTATGATTCTGTTCGTGGATAACACAAGCAATCCAACAATTTTCTTCATTTTTCAAGATAACCAGTGCTTTCCTGATTATCTTATAACATTAAACAAACATTAAAATAATTTTAAATTGTGTTTCATTACGAAGTAAATCAGTTCTGCAATTCTTATTTTACTAATGATCAGTTTTAGTCAGTATATTTCTTTCACCAGCAAGATACTTTTTTACACTTCTTTAATAACCACAAGTTCATGTTATGCACTCTACGTAAACATTTCTCGTTGATATTTTCTCCTGAAATCAGCAATGTGATTATGGCTGATCTCATTAAATCTTCTGTTGAGATCATAATGACACTGAACAAAAATTTGTATTTTTTAAAGTATTGAATGTAAATAGGGGGTTGACATTTGGTGAGAAGTGAATCTATATTCCTTCTAATTTTCTGTACCCATCGTTATAAGTAATTTGAGGAAGGTTGGTAGACGCTGTCTCGTCAGTAAATATCTAACCGCCAAAAATTTGGTTAATAATAAACTTGACTTGGTTGCTTTTAATATGACAAGCTTGTAAATGATTCATTGGTCCCTCCTCCAAATTAGAATACTCATAATCAAAATCACCAACCCTGATAAATAAATAATAATTTTAACAAAAGAAAAGAATATGATTACAATGGTATAACACTAAAGACTGTTGACCAATACGATCCGACTACTCCACACAGTCAGTGTTTGACTTTTAGAAGATCTGCATTACATAGCTAAAATACTACAGAAATCATAAAAATGTCTTTGTTTGTTCCTCCCATTTTTTACCAAACTCACCGAAATGCTTGTAGAATAATCATCGTAGCTATTAAGACGGATGAGGGGCGTTATAATCTGCAAAAAGCAATAATTATCATGCTGACGAGCAATCTTGAGTAGCGAAGTTTCCACCGTCTAACAACTACAGCCATTAATTTGGAATGGGAAGTTGTCAATCAAAGCTCTTGAATTATTTTTGACGATCAAGGTGAGTAAAAAATGAAGGTTTAAAAATAGAGAATAATTTCGAAAAATTGTTGTCGAGACTTCATTAAGTAATCTGACATTGAATACAACGATTAAAACCCAGGATGGTGAACTTTCACCGAATCAATCAGAACTGTTCGATCACGATGAATCTAAGTTAACACAGAAGAAAAGGCAAATTTCAGCAAAATGCCAATGGAAATGTGAGTGATGAATGAAATGTTGAGTAATCCTCAAAATTAGCAAGAACCCATAAAATGGTTATTAGCCAATCATAAATTAGTATCTTGGCATGATATCTCAATCCTCGATGCTGTCTTCCACACCTCACACCTAAATGGAAATTTATATATAGTAAAGCAGCAGCATTGTTTTTTTGTTCTTCAAAAATTTTCTACTATATAGAGCTCAAATTTTTTATGTGACAACAGCTCAAGTAAAAGCTACCAAGACGACTTTTGATGAACTTTGCAAATTTTAATGGTCATCATTGTCACATTATCCTCATCTTAGTCTTTCAAAGAAGTTCACAAACTCACAAAGGGCCCAATTTCAACAACAATAACTACATGAACAATATGATGTAAAATGCGAGAAAATAAAAACTTAGTGAAAGATGTATACAGTTCCATTTTATTTGTTAGATCAATTCGATAACAAGAAAAAACTGTAGGCCGCTTAAACAGCATTATTATTTCATGTTGTGATCAACAGTTGTCTTAGATTTCTAACAAAAGCTTTAAATCAAACTGCTGTTTGTAATGCTTTCGTAAATAGCTAAGACGGTCAAGCATTACAAAGTATTTTCATGATCACAAGCTTAATAAATATGCATGGGACAATTACATAGTTTTGTATTAATAAAAAGGAAAGTGACTGAAAGAAGACTTGAAAGCAGATGAATCATGCATGCTTACTTTCAAATACACTGATCACTCTTTCTAATTTTCATTTTAATTGTTATCCTAAATAAAGCTGTTATGAGTTAGATTGGTCAATTCAAATCGATGAAACAATTGCATATATTTACGAATACAAGCATATAATTTTATGTCAAAGGAAACGCTTAGAAGAAAATTTGTTTGGAAATTGATCACTGCAGCCAGTAGTCCGTTATGTCGTACATTTTCTTCAAATAAATAATGTTTATCTGAAACCTGATGACTTTGGAAATACCACAACCAATCTTTTGAACGCCAAACACCACCAATGGTGGTGTTACTTGACTAACTTGATGAGGAAAGGGGGGGATGGTGCAGCATCTCTGGTTTTACTGATATGCACGTGATTGAGTCTGTTTATATTACGATATTTATATTTAATTGTCTTGGTCGGTCATTTAAAATCTTACATTAAATTTAGATTTAAAACAGAAAGAATAGAAATTTTTAGTCATGATCATGACAGAAGACTAATGGTCATCAAATTTTTTACAAGTGAATGTAATTGACTTTGAAGAGAAAATTCTTCGAGGAGCAACTTTTATTTCAATAGCTATCTCTACAACATGTTAATAAAAAAATGAAATGTAACTAAGCAAACTTAGATTTATAGTTTCTGTGGCTTTAATCAAACTTGAAGAGCAAATTACAGTAAAAAGTAAAAAATGCCTGTAGTGCAGAGTACAATTGATCAATAATAAATAAGTACAAAATGTTGAAGACTGATTGTTTTCTTTTTAAATGAAAAAGCTCTTGAGATTGTTCCAGAGGCATCGCCAGGCTATTCGAGATAGGTGGGGCTTGGCATACCCTTATAAAAATTGTGAACTTAAGAGATCTCTAAAATGCAACTTCCCTTGATTTCAGGAAAGTTTTAAGATAATATGAAAGACACGCGTTGACAAATTAAGTTAAAAGCTGGGGAAACTTTTTATAGTTGGCTAATCTAAATATGTCAACAATGGAATTCAACTCAATCTTATCTGCAGTGTCACTTTTTATGCAAATGTAAACGAAATGTTTAAGTTATTCATCCTATGATATCATTTAACTATAATGGAAATACTCAGTAACTTATTGAAGCGTTCTGAAATTGAAATCAGTGCACACACCCTGTCCTTTTTCTTCAAACTTTGAATTCAGAAAATGAAAAAATTAGTCTTTTTGAATAATTGGGACAACATGTCACCCATTTCTATCTCTGGCTACGCCCCTGAATTACTCTATTACTTATTTAATGTTATAAGATACTCAGGATAACACTGACTATCTTGGAAAATTACAAAAATTGTTGGATTGTTCACGTCATCCACAACAGAATCATAAAGCAGACCTGGATTACTGGAATCATTTCTCGATGGTGGTGCCTTTAGTCCCTGCATGCCAGATGTGTACTCTCCAACTAGAACCTTGGCAACGAACATCTTTGGTTGGGATCCGGCAGAACATTGACGAAGAGAGTACTCCAGTGAGTACGATGCAACTCCTGCAAAGTATACTCCGTTGCCATACATTACTCCTGTAAATTGAATACACACGTTTGGGAAAAATCTTCCTGTATAGTGGGGAAAATATTTATTTGTGCATTCTTTAGTTTGGTCTTAGCAGGTCTTCAAAAAACCTCAAAAATTTTCTCAGAAAAGCAGCCAAAGCACTTTCAGTTGTGTTTAATATTTTTTATGCTTCTCTTTCAAATTATTATGAAAAGAATTTATTACCAAAGAAACTTTTCAAAATATTCTCAAGGTGAAACTGAAGCTATCATGAAATCTTACCATTGATTCCTGTATAGCTTCGGCTAAAGTTATTCGAGTTTATTGCTTCAACATTCGCTGAATTAGTGCCATGAAAAAGACGCATTTCATTCACATCTCCACGCATGGATTTTTTAAAGGTCTGGTACCGAGAATAAAGCCCAGGGTTCTGTATTCTTTGAATCTCGTAAATTTGATCAGATCTTCCTCCTCGAGCCACAAAGTAATCTTCAATCTCGATATATTCAGACGAAGATTGTGTCAGTCCGACAACATTGACAATTTGATCGGAAGGTTGGGGTGACCAACTTGGTGGAACTGAGAAATTATAAGAAGTATAAAGTATTTGCCACTCAAATAGTTTCTAACTTACAAAGATAACAACAAAACCTCGAAAATTCATACGAGTTTCCAGGTAATAAAACGCTCAAATGTATTTTCTGTTCCTTCAAAGTGTAGAGAAGATTGAAAATAAAATGATCAAAACTCTACCTTTAATTGACAAAATTTCGTCGTTGGTTAGCTCACTAAGATGATTTTTGAGTAAACTGCTTTCTTTCCTCACTTCATTGCTCGAGCCAGTAAAAGAAATCGTTTTCTCATCCTCAAACTCCATTCTAACGTTATTCGGGACTATCCACAATTTATCTGCCAAAAGTTTTAGAACTAGATCATAGAGTTTTTCATAACTTATTTTTATTGTGGTGATATTTTCATTGACGAACTTTTCGAGATTTTGCAATGCTGAAGAAATTTCGTAATCAGAACGTCCAATAATCTGAAGCGTTATGATCTCTTTACCACAACCAAATGCAAAGGGAACATGACTCGGCTTCAAATTAGAGGAGCTGCTATCTAAAGGGAAAAGTTGGTTCAAAACGCAGATTAAATATAGTTCAGACAAGGTTCCTTTTTAACACTGTCGTAACTATATTTTTTTGTTACTTTAATCTTCTTCTAACAAATCCATTTTCTTCATTTAATGTTTCATAGTCATTATATTCTCAATAAAAACTCACTATTTGTAGTCTGTCTTTGTGTTCCATCCGAATCGTATCTTATCAATCTGATTTCCTTCAGTGAAGTTTGTGGAGACGTGGAACTAAATCGTATGAATTCCTCTCTCATCATAAGCAAGACAGCGTATACAGGAAAGTTGTGTTGACCCGTTCCCATCATTGGCAACGCCACCGATTTGGCGGAACGTTGGTTGCATTCCTCAAGAATTTTTTTCAGAAGATTTCGGAACAGCTTGAATTAATAAACGATAATTTTTTAGAAATTTTGTAGCATAAGGAAATGAATGTGACTTGGCTTCTTAAACAATTATTATGTGATTCAATCCTTACTTCTTCAGCGTTACCTCCTGGTGTCCAATCACAACAAACGGCATGAATGACAAATTGACAAGAAAGATTTCCTGCATTTGTTGTTGCTATATCCCCATAGGAAATGTGAGTATGGCTACCACATTCTTCGACATATGAATTTCCGCCAATCTCATTAAATGCTTGTCCTACCATAGTTTTATGACCAAGATTTGGGAGCGCTGAGTTGACCAAAACATCAGCCTTTAATTAAAATAAGAATGGTGTTTTCATTTACTTATCAACAAAATCTATGTTTTTTTCTTAAATATGATACAAAAAAAATATTATAAAAAAGAGCAAAACTTGCCACCCTCCCTTTATGCTTTGTTTGCCGACAAGAACATGGTGAAAATCGATACAAGAATGTATAATACTCACCTTTTCTTTGGCGAGATCACCATATTTCCATGAAACCTCTAGACCTTCTTTAGTTGTAAAATTGCATACATTAAATGGTTCGACATTTTCTTCATGTTTGTCTATCACTATTGCCATGACTTTCGTATTTTCTTTGAGAACAAGATTTAAGTATTTTTGTCCAATGTCACTTGAAAATAACTTCAAAGCTCCAGGTAATGTGTATGGTATTATTTTCGTTCTTATTTCTTTTTTTAACTCTATTATGCGTGTTTTTGCCTCTTTGATTCCTTTCTCTGTACCAGAATATTTCAGTGATCTTTCACATATTGTAATTTCAACATTCTCCTCTTTAAGTCCAGCTTTAATTGCCTCAAATTCATTCTTTAGTCTTTCTTTCATGAAACGAGCGATCTCAGGCTCCTCGTCGACAGAGAGATGTTTTATCTTTTGAATACGAAAAATAATTTTGAATTTTGTTTTAAAATAATTAATTACTTCTGATGGGCTAATAGTCTTTTGTGAAAGTTGTCATGCCCATCGAAAGACGTAATAAGTTTAGGATACGACTATTTTTCTATGCTATTACGTCATTCCTGAATGAAGAATTTGTAAAACACGTTGTTATACCCTGATGAAAGATATGGTAAAAAATGCAGCATAGATGGCTTATTCATACAAAGTTGCGTCACGATTTTTGAATTAGGTTTTTACTTAATACGAAAAATATACAAAGCTTAAGTTTTCTTATATGAAACTTTTGAAACTATCTACCTCATAAAATTTATTTCGTCAGTTTAGATTTGACATTTTATTTTTGTGGTTTAATGACATAATGTAAGTTTTCTTTTAGTAAAACTTTGACTTACTACTTTTTCGTTCAGTGAGGAATCTTGGTATCTTGAGAATGTTGATTAATCACGGTATTTTGCATTTTGTTTTTGATTTCTTTTTGCATTTTCCCTTTTGCTAGTTGACGTTTGTGACGAGGAAATTGATGACTATATATTTCACAAAGTAGATAAAAACTCAGTTTTCAAATAAAATATCCAGTTGTAAGTAACAAGTGTTTTGGTTATGGGCTATCAACAATATTTACAATTTCACAGAGCTATAACCTATTGTAAAGTAATAATAAACATCGATATCTTACATTAGATTCTCCTCGACGATGCCGTTTGGTAAACAAACGCCACATTCCTATTCCAAAATGTATGCCTTAAAGAGAGCTGTCCAGTCTATTTTCAACAAAGTTGTGCTATGAAGGGGTTGCAAATACGGCAATAATTAGTATGTATTCGTGAATACTTCATAAATTTTGATGAAGGCCTTCTACATTTAAGAGAAAAGCATTCTAAAATTTCAAAAGCAACACGATGACGTTCTTAATTATTACGCTTCAAGCCGCCAAAAGGCGATAAAATTTTCGTACAGTTTTCTTTTTTGACAACACTTTCTACAACAACAACTGCCAGCGAATAATTAAACTAATCTTACCTTTTTCAATTCAGATTGATTGCAGTTAATATCTCAAATTGATGCCTCTCATAAACGTTAACGAATATAAGAAGCTCTTTTAAACAACTTAACGCAACTTATAACAGCAGGTACATCATGCATATACATAAATATTACCCCCAACCCAGTCCTATTTATCATTCCTGCCAAAGTCCAAATGTAAGATGTTTGGTATTTCTAAATAAGAGCAAGAACGAAAGGAAACTTAAAGAGACTGTGAACATCGACTTCATGTAGTCTAACCCAACTTGGTTCATGTCCTTTTTTTGACTCACAGATATTCTCTAGGTGTATTTGTGAGTCATTGCTATCACTATCAAACATTCTCAGTTTGTGTTTCAACAAAGACTTTATTATTTGAATAGCCTTAGTAAATTGATAACAATTGTATTTAAATGTCAAGGTGTCTGACATAGTAATAATGATTATCGTGTGTTTCATTTTTGACAGCTTAAATTGGGCACAGTAGTGAAACATTTTTCATTGTTTTTTGTATAGTTTTTTTAACAGCATAATTACAGGTTGGTCAACAGCCGTGATATATTTCAGTATGCAAGGAGAACGCGGAATTTGACATCGAATTTCTCTGTTTCACTTTTATTTTCATTTTTACAAAACTGCATTGTTTTTTTGCATGAATAATAATTAAGGTGGTAAAAGGCCTTTTAGATTATTTAAATATCGTTTTCTTAAAAGCATGACAAAGTGAAAGTGGGTTTAAGGAGAAAATGGGTTTGAAGCGAAAGTTCATTTCAAGTTCAAAGTTCATTACGGAAGTTTTCAATTCATCCAGGTTAGTTAAACTGTATATGATCTTTTTTCATGTTATCAAATAGATTTTGAAAACCCAGCCTTTTGTCGCAAAATACCAAACCATATTACAAACTTTGATCGATATTAAACGGTCTGATGCGTATTTAACGAATCTTTCACTTTCCATAATTTTATATACTTCTTTCATTCAAGAAATAAGTGTTGTAAATGTTGGTCTTTTGTCAATAGCTTGGAGTGTTTAAAAGATATCTTTAATGTCAAGCCATTTCACCTGAAAGTGTATTAGTCAAACTTTTATTTTTAAGTTTCACTTTGTTGAATTCCCTCCAGCTTTGTTGTCATACAGATTTTTACGTTGTCTAAAAGACAATCGAGAAACGACAATTAAAAATTTAATTGTGTTTTATTTCATTAAAAATAAACGCAAATTTGGCCATAACGGGTTCACTACAATATTAGGTTTACGGGAAAAATATTGCAGTTTCATGTGAAAACGACTATTTGAGACTTTATTTGGTTACTTCTTTGGTGTTATTTACATCGATGCATAAGCATACATAGTTAACTGTAGATTTTTCCATTTATTTCGAGTTCACAAATGACAATTTTCTGGTGGAGAACATCGTACAGTCACGCAAATCATCTCACTGATTAATATCAATTCTCAGGTCAGATGGAAAGGAAGAAAAATGGGTGCACTATATTTTAATTGTTTGTCAACTTATGCATGCATGGCCTCCCTTTTTACAAACTATTTCTGAACTTGTATTATTATTGTTAGTGGACCATTTAAGATTTACTTTCAATTATCTTCGTTCTCAAAAGTCTATTTCAACCAGCATTTATTGAATCGGGCGTTTCCAGTTCGACTATTTTTATTCCTTTGTCATTGAATGTGTTCATTTAACTGTATTTTCATGCAAACAAAACAAAGAATTCACTTACGTTTTCGGCATGTCGATATTGAGGATTATATATGATTTTGGTAGACACTTAGGACTTTCTCGAAATCCATCAGTGGGTAATCTGACTCGTTAAAGACAATAAGATGTACCACGACAAGACATCAAATTCCCATTGCTCTCTTCCCAATGAAATAGATAATGGCATAAATACGCTAAAAATTGTTTCCGTTTCTCTTCCAAGATTCCTCATAACATTTAACCAAGGTCCCATTACAAACATTGCTTGAGGTTATTTCATCCTGTTCCTAGCTTTATCATTTGGAAAATAAGCACATTTAATTACAATAATGGGGGAGGGCAACGTCTTCATTAATGAGGACTTTACGTCATTCAACAATTTAAGAAATGGATCGATCAATTTGAATGACAAATAACATTCATAAAAGAGAGACTTTGTCGTGGTGACAAACTTAGAGATGGATTTCAAAATAGCGAATACCATGGTGAATGGTGATAATAACAATGTAATAGTTCTTAAAAGAACTGTTTTAACCAGAACACTAACTCAACAATTCAAAGGAACCGTTATTTACAGCTAGAAAGAGACACTATGCATTTCGGCAGACTACTCGTCAGGTGTCAACGTCTGCTAAATGAGAACCTCCAAACCATGCTATATTTATAACGTTACAAAAGGTCAATGTCATCCATGTTTTTAGAGATGACACTTAAAACAGAGACAGATTAAGCACGTAATCATTTTGTCGGCAAAGGACAGGATTAGTCATTTTAATTAAACCGACTACAGTTTAATCAATTTAATTAATAAACTTTTCATCAGAAAACTTTAAAATTATTAAAAAATGTCACTCATTATTCCAGCTACGCGTCATCTCTAAAAATAGGGATGACATTGCCTTTTGTAACATTATAAATATAGCATGATTTGGAGGTTCTCATTTAGCAGACGTTGACACCTGACGAGTAGTTTGCCAAAATGCATAGTGTCAATTTCTAGCTGTAAATAACGGTTCCTTTGAATTGATGGGTTAGTGTTCTGGTTAAAACAGTTCTTTTAAGAAGTATTACATTATTATTATCACCATTCACCATGGTACTTGCTATTTTGAAACCCATATTTAAATAACATTCATGTTTTTCTCTTTACATGTTGACAACAGATCTTTTTTGTCTCGTATTCCATCACGAAGACCAAAAATCAATTTGCTGCATGCAGTGCAGAAGGCAAGCAGTGAGTTTTGTTTAAGTAATGATGATGAGATCAAAGCTTTCTTGAGGAACATTCCGCGTAAGGTAAGAAAGCAGCAGTACATTTTAGTTTCAACAGTAAACATTTATGTCATGGAAATAAGTGTTTCTTATTTTTACTTCACATTGTGTAACGTGGTGAATATTGCAGTGATTTCGTGGATAGTGTTTATAGCAGGATGAAAAGTATTGGTTGCTGACAAGTCGAAACTTTTTTAAAATGAGATATCATTTGACTTCTTCTAGATTTGCACATCTGATGACATTCCAACGTTTCGTCAAACTCCTCCATCTCCTCCACCTCATTCTGCAGGTAAAAGAACAAAAAATTCCTGAAACTTTTTACAAGAAAAACACAACAGTTATATACTCGAAAGCCAGTTTAGCAAAATGAAGCACATACACAACTTCACTGTTTTACAGATTTTTGTTCACCTATTCCACCACCTCGGAATCAATCTCTCCGAAAGAAGATCAATCCTTTAATTAATGGTAATGATCTAATTGATAGTGGGAAAAGAAGTCCTCTCCTGAGCAATGTAAGTGAGGTGAAACATACAATGCGTGTTAATGTCTACGTTTCAATTTAAAGAAAAAGAAAATTTCAGCAATGAGCTGAAAAGTTGAAAACCTCCAATTCTAAAACAAGCTGCTTGTCGCCACTTGATAGTATTGTTGAAAAAACTTTGAAGCCTGTAAAAAACAAACAAAAGTTAGTCAGGCCCGCAGACTGGAATCTCTTTCCTCATATTTCTCCATCATGAGATCAGAGGACAAATATTCTGTCTCCAATGTGAGAGAAGCAGCAAGCACATTTATTCAAACTTTGTTAAATGAATCATGTACGATTTTCAGTCAAAGTAAACCACATACATATGAAGAGGCTTTGACTAAAATATGGGTATAAAAGTTATTGCCAAAGATATTTATTCCGGATGAAGTCTCATTCTTATATTATCGAGCTTTGTAAGCACATATTTATGAAAAAAATTGGCCTTTCTTAATCAATTAGATACTTTAATGTATGAAAATGCATATTTTTTTAAAGGAAGAAGATAAGACTGTGAAAGAATTCATGAAGTCTGTGTCAGTTAAGAAAGATCACATTGACTTTATTCAACGCCATAATTTCTTGGAAGAATTATTGAAAATGTGTCCTGGGCTAACCAGCGTTACTTTGACTGAAAGCAATCAAAAAATTAGCTTTGAAGGGTCTAGGAAAGATGTTGTAAAAGCTGAACAACAGTATAACAACTTTCTTAAGAAGATTACGGTTGTTTCTCTTTGTCTTTGTCAAGAAATGATTACATTTTTGACGAAAAAAGTAGGATTGAAATTTTTTGAAAGTTGTTTATCTCAAGAAAATATTGTGGCCGTGCTATTTGTGGAGTCTGAATCTATTATAAAGGTGGTAATGCAATCAGGAGATTTTGACGCAGTGATAAATTGTTTAGGAAATAACATTCTAAAGAAAGAGATATCATTGCCACTAGACGACAAGCACATTTGGAATTCGAGATGGTTTGAAATACTCGAGGCAATCAAATCGGAAGACACGATCGATTACTATACAAATCCTGGCTCTGTAAAAGGTTGCATCGTTCTTTATGGCACTGCACCTTTCGTTGAAAAATATGGCAACGACGTCAGAAGTTTTCTTGATAGATTCCAAGATGTACTTTTCCTCGTTGATATTGACGACAAAACATCACGTTTTATGAAAGAAAAACTAAAGAAAGAATTTGAGAATATTGAAGTTTCACTCAAAGATGAGCATGTTAAGATTGAAATCCATGTAGGATTACTGAGATACACTGGGACAAAACAAGGAATTGATGAGGCAAACACTCGCGTGATGAAGTTGAAGAATGAAATAAAGACGAAAACAAAATCTTTATCTTCTGTCGGAGTCCTTGAGTTATTCGTTAACGAGCATGGTCTGAGAAACTTAAAAGGTATTGAAATTGAAACAAATGTCAAAATTGACATAACGGATAGCTACCAAGAAAATCAGGAGGTTGTCAGTATTCAAAAAAATATTGTAGAACCTTATGATGAATGTAATTTCATGACAAAGGAATCTATAAAGATTTCATGGAAATACGGTAACCTGGTCGATGAATGTGTGAGTTTGAAATT